GGGGGGGGGAGGACGAACAGGACGCTATCCAAGCCCAAGAAAACCTTCATCTCACGGGCTTGGATGAAAGGACAACTTCTTCTCCAATCTGCTGCATTTTTTTGTTATTGCTTTATATTTCCTGAGCCACACTAAGAGCAGCCGCCTTCAGAGGATATGGAAGTGCAGTATTGATCTAGAAGGTGGAGCGGAGGAAAAGATGAGGGATTTCGCCGCTTCCTCACCGTTTGCAAGCTCAGGTTCACCGTTCATTGCTAATGAATGGCTGCTAATGAGCCTACTTTTTCCTTCCTTCCTCATATAATATAAGACTCTTTTTTTTTTTTTTTTTACCTGTAACAAATCCAAATGTGAAGACGTGACATGGGACTTAAGGCATCAGTCCTGAAAATCTCAACGCAGAGTTCCTACTTTTTGGTGAGTACCTTCACGTCACATTACGTTGTTGATATTGGCATCGGTATGCTTGGCCTACAATCTGTATTGCCTGATGATGAATTGATTCTTTCAAGGATGCTTCCGTTTAATTTGGACGACTGGGTTGCCGTCAAAATTCTTGAAAAAAAAAAATTTTATAATGAGTGAATTGTACTACCCCCCTCAGTGATTTCATCGAAATGTAAATTATACCACTTTCAATCTAGATCTGATCCGGATTTTTGTCTCTATCTATTTAAGCCTTGATCAGTTGGATCTAAAATCTGGCACCAGTACCATTTGCAGCCTGTTGCACGTTTTTTATTGGTCCGTATCAGAAGTTGATAAGAGAAGGAAAATTTAAACATCACCCTAAATTTTAAAATAAAATGAATAAAGTTGAAAGTTACAAGTCATCACACTTTTTAAAAAATTCTTTAAAAATGTGAAATTATTAAAAATAAAGTCACATTTTTTAAAATTGGAGTTATAACACTATTTTTCTATTTAAAATGTTTTATAAAATTGAATATTACAGTATATCATGCAATCGATACTAATACCTTTTTGCTTTGTCATCAATAGCGCCAAGTGTGTTTAAAAAAACACTTAGCCAATATGTTTAACTCCTTACCATGTCATTAGCCAAATTTTTTTCGAGACAGTTTTTAATTAACTGTCACAATATTCATTTTAAAAAAATCCCCAAATGTTTGCTAAAAATGTAATACATTCTTAATGTGTTCAGCCGCAATTTTTTTATTGAGGGAACCGGTCTCTTCTTGTGTGCTTACTTTGATGTGTTTTTACTTATTTTTTTGGAAAATATATTAAAAAAATGACTGATGCAATTATGCTCACGATATGTCGATCTATAGCTAGACACTATAGTGGATTGTTTATTTCGTTCGGGTTTTACAAACGTAAGGTGACATCCTCATTTTTCTGTATGAGGGGAAAAAAAGTCATCCCTGTCGGACATTGTTGGTGACTGGGCATTTGACAAAAGCATGAACCATGGCAGAGGTCTGCACTCTCAGGCTGTCGTTGTCGGATGATAAAGTCAAAATTAGCGCATAAATGCAACAGCGGCTCCTCTCACAGGAGCCTTGTGATTGCTGTGTCGTTTTTGTTATTATTGCATGTACCAACTCATTACAGCGCGACTCCCGCCAATCTCCTGGCACGCGGCGAGACTGGCGCCTCGATTTTTCCTTTTCCTACCACCTCCGCCTGGCAACAGTGCTTACAAAATGGCCGATCGCTATCTGCCAGCTGTCTCGCTCGGCCAAGATGGCACTCGGGCGGTCTCTTCGAGTGCCCGCCGTTTGCCATCTGCCCTCCGAACGTTAACGGCTATGCAAATACACCGTAATTGCATTTACATGCGCTCCATCCGTGCCATTCCTTCCCCCTTTTTTTCAGCTATAAATAAAAGCGTTGAAAGAAAAGCCGAATAAAAAGCTGCCCGGCTGCTGATTGAATAAGCCGTGAGGGCAATTAGCGGGTGAATGTCGCCTGCATGGCCAGCGTCTTAAGCATTTTAAGCTCACCTCATTACCTATGCAAATGCCCTTTTCTACTTTTGGATCGGAGCCTTCCACTCACGCCCGCCAATTTTTGGGAGACGCTGCCGTTGTTGCCGCATTGTGCCATATGTGACATCTGTGCCGGGCTTCATGCCTCCGCTGACAGGCACACTGTAAAGGAAAGGAGCGTCCAATACATAATGGCCTCATTAGCATGCTCGCCAATCCCCGCTATAGGCCCTGGTGTGCTGCTGTGCCGTGGGACCCGGCGGTGTACGCCCTTCTCACAGCACTCAGCATGCAACATTGTGTTAACACCCACCACCCCTCTCCCCAGCCACCCTCATACACACACACATACACACACAATGCGGCGCTTTATTACGCCTTGTCAAAGCGCGGGGGGATCAGGGCTATCCGTGCACAAGCAGCGGGATGCAGGCTGCTGTGTCGTCGCTACAGTGCTAGTGAACCCCCTCCCCTCGCTTGCCGTTTTTGTCTCCGTGTTTATGTTTGTGTGCGATTGGCCGTTTCATGACGAGCCCCTCAGGTATTTGGGGTTGTTTTCACCTGTCAGGGCTAATTAGTAGAGGACCCTCTCTATCTGCGCACCCCCTGGAAGTAGGCCATCATCCCGTCGGAAGACTCGCCGCCTGCCTGCTGACTGTTAGGACAGCACACGGCAGTCTGTTACTGTTAGAAATTAGTCGGGTATTTTTATTAAACAATGTACAGTGGCAGCTTGACTTAAGAGTGGGCCAACTGTGTTTCAGGTTGTGAGCCATTGCTTGGATGACGTTTTTGTTATATTTTGATGATGTAAACACTGCCACTTGGGTTAAGTGACAGAAGAAGAAAAAAAAGGGGGAGCCGCAATCGCTGATGCTCCTTCACCCATTTAGACAAACACTCTAAACAAGCAAATGCAAAAATGAGAACACTCACAAGGAGCATGGAGCAGATGCTCACACTTAAAAAGCTCGCATTAATGCCTACAGACCCTGATGTCACTCACTAAAGGCACACGTTAATGCACAAGTACTGCAGAAGTTTGGCTTCATTACATTTGCATTCTCTTTAACTATGTTGTTGTGTTATTATATTTATATTTTGCAATATAGTGCTATTTTTCATCAACTGGCCATTTGCCTTAACCAGAAAGTAGCTTTCTTGTTGCGTGCAACACCTGATCATGTAGACAGACATTTAAAAAGTGAATTCTAATCCCCATTTCAACTCCCTTGCTGACCAAAACAGCAGCATTTTAGCGCCGAAACAGACTTTCATGTGAAATTTGCAGATTTACCCCACATTTCAGTATTAAAGATGACCTCACATCGTGGTTGCACCTTAATGTTATGTATGTTACCGTTTTAAACTCCACTTGATGTCATATCAAAAATTATTGTGACAAATTTGTGCAAAGTTCTTTTCTTTCTGATGTTGCGTGGAAGGCACTTTGTAATGCGCATTGCTGCCCCCTTCAGGTCTGGAGTATAACATTGACGCCGATTTTGGACAAATCGTTTTTTTTTTCTTGTTTGTTTTGTTCAGCACATCATTGGGTTAAAACGTGCCTTGTCAGTCCTCACAAGCAGACATAAGTCTTGCATGCCTCTTATCTGTCATTAGCATAATAACAATGGAAGTGCCATATGTTTTATACAGCAGCAGAATGAACATAACCCACCACCAGGTTTACTTAATCACGCGCGCCCGCGCGCGCACACACACACACACACACACACACACACACACACACACACACACACACACACACGCACGCACACTTGTACAAAGAGTAATTCTAATCCATTGACTGTTTGCATTCACACTTACTTAAAGGAAATAAAGAAAACACTCCGCACCCACCTTCTCCTGCAGAAAGCTTTTATGCTAATGAACGCTCGTGATGCTGTGCATTTCGGTGGCAGACTGCGCAGATGAGCTTGCTTCAGGTGGTCTGCAGTATGGTGTGATTTCATACGGAGAGTCAAATGTCGATTTGTTAATATTAATATATGAATATTTTCCCATCAGAAATAAATGAATTAGAAAGAATCCCAGCATCAAATTGTCACCATCATAAAACCTTGATTAAATGTACGGGCAATGCTTTAAGAAGCATGTTAACATTCTTTACTATCATACACATTTCAAAGAAATGAATAAACTATGATATTGAGACACACTGCACCGGTAGCCACTTGTCTTGCAAAAAACAGTTCACCCATGAGTGTACAGAGACCATGACAACACTTCAGATGGCGAAAGTAGTCTGACTGGGTACTCATGTATTACAGATACTTGTGCTTTGGTCCCAATATTCAGCCACGGCTGGTACCAAGCCCGGAAAGAAAATTGTTGAGCAGCATCAGGGAAGAGCATCTGCCACAAAATTGTGCTCACCAAACAAGTAACTCATGTGGTGACCCATGAAGTGAGTCGCACCAACAACTCCTGTGCACACTATAAGCAAAAAATAAATTCGAATTTGAAATTTGAATAATCGGTTTGCTGCTAAAGCCATACCAATACTGTATGTACATATTCTGTTTTGCAATACTATTTCACTATAATTCTAATTACCGGTACTTATGTAACTGTAGATAAAAAGCCAAGTGTGGAGAGTCTCTGTGCATCAATTGCAGTCAGTGAACAAGGCAACTGATCATTGTTAAAAGCTTCTCAAAATATCCGCACTCTCTCCATTGTTCTTATTTTCCTCTTCTTTGTGACCATCCACTTTTTTCTTGACAATCACGCCATGTTTTTGGACGACTGCAAAAAATAATATTGTCCAAAATATTGCATTGTGGTGCCTTAAAATATGCTACATGCTCACCGTTTTTCAATTGCGGCACATCAGTTGATGTGCGCTCAGTCACTTGGCATGTGGCGAAGTATCGCCAACTGTAGTTTTTTTTCCTGTTGATTCGCTTGAGTCATATTTGGCCGCGGGCCTGAAAGCTAGCAAGCATTTGCTCGCAATTTATTTAACATGTACCTACTCATGGTGTGAAGTGAGCAACAAAAAATGCTTGAATAGCAAATGATACCAACTGAAAAAAAAACATCCTGTGTTTTATTTTTTTTCCAGATCTTACTTCTCGGAATCTATTGTGCCATCGTCATTAATGCTCCCTGCTTCATGTTCCCATATATGTCACTGCTGTCCCTATATGTTTCCGCTTTGTCAGATCCTAAAATATCAATCACTCAAGATTTGGAAGGCTTTTTTAAATATCATTCTGTCAACTTTGACAAGGTACCAACACTTCCCAAAGATCTATTCAATTACAGTTATGTATCCTTTTTACGAATGACAATTTTGAGAGTGGGCTTAGTTGTGCTTTATTCAGATTGCTTGCTGCTTTTTATTTGCTTCGCTATTGATTTTGTTCGCGTGTGTGTGTGTGTGTGTGTGTGTGTGTGTGTGTGTGTGTGTGTGTGTGTGTGTGTGTGTGTGTG